CCCCTCCCTCAGACCTCTCCCCCAGGCCCAGGCCCCTACCCCAGGCCCAGGCCCCTCCCTCAGACCTCTCCCCCAGGCCCAGGCCCCTACCCCAGACACCAGACCCGGTCATTTTCCTCTCTTAAAGTAGCAGCTTCCGGTGGAGCAGGAGAGCAGTTCACCGAGAGCCCCGTGGGCCCAGCCGGCCGCCGCAGGCTGGAGGTGTCAGCCATGGCCATTGCCCTCTCTGTCCTGATGGTGGCAGCGGCAGTGACCGTGTGCCTGGGCCTGGGCCGCTGCCGACGACGCTGCCCACGCCACCCAGGTACGCGCAAGGCCCGGCTGTTAATGTTGCTGTTTCTGGTGTTGGTGTGAGCTTTTTGTTTTTTGTCAGTGGTGGGGTTTGAACTCAGGGCCTATCCCCGAGGCTGTTCGTGCTCAAGGCTAGCGAGCACACTACCACTTGAGCCACAGCGCCACTTCTGGTTTTCTGGTGGTTCATTGGAGATGAGTCTCACGGACTTTCCTGCCCAGGCTGGCTTTGAACCACTATCCTCAGATCCCAGCCTCCTGAGCAGCGAGGATGACAGGCGTGAGCCACCGACGCCCTGCTAGCACTTTGCTTTTTAAGGCCTTCCTAACTCTTGCAGATGTTCATTTGAGGTTTAGTTTTCAAGGCTGGAGGGCTGGGAGGTGGCTGGGTGGTCAAGCACTTGCCTGGCGCGTGCAGCTTCCTGGGTTTGATGCCCAGGACCAAGATAGAAAAAGACGAAAAAACTCTTGAGCCCCGGGAGCCAGCCAGACTCCCGGACGTGGATCTGAACAGGGGGGCCTCCTGGGCGCCGCCCCTGTGCGGGTGATGCCGGCCGCCGGGGAGGGCTCCACCGCCTGCAGTGGCGGCCCCGCCGGCCCCTGGCCCCAGGACCCTCCCACCGCGGGGCCGGGGGAGCCCCTGTGGGTGGGGAGGCTCCGGGGTGGCGCCCTGACCTCCTGCCCCCACCATGTCACCACACCGCTCGTTTGTCCACAGGTGACCAGACTGTGACCCCAGAGCAGGAAGAGCTCCCAGGTGAGTGCGCCTCACAGAGAAAGCAGGCTGTGGGCGTGAGCCGCAGGCCCGCCCCTGCCCTCGGTGGCTGGCGACGGGGTGGGTGGCTTAGGTGGAGAGACGCAGTCCTGGGCGCGTGCCTAGCACTGTGCTGGAAGTGTCTGCCTGCGTGCAGCCTGGCCCGCCCACCCTCTGGGGCGTCCAGGACAAGTGCAGACACCAGGCGCGGCTTCCTGCCCCAGCTAGGCCCTGCCCTAGGCACGGGTGCGTCCCTGGCTCCGGTGGGTCCCACATCCAGTCTTGGTTTGGGAAAGAACATCCACACACAGGTGTCAAGGTGCCGGTGGCCCACCAGGAGGGGCCTCGGGGTGCGGGGGGGGCCTTGGGGTGCAGGGGCAGGGGCCTCGGGTGCAGGGGCAGGGGCCTTGGGGTGTGGGGGGGCCTCGGGTGCAGGGGGAGGGGCCTCGGGGTGCATGGGGAGGGGCGTCGGGGTGCAGGGGAGGGGCCTCAGGGTGTGGGCGGGACTCGGGGTGCAGGGGGAGGGGTCTCGGGGTGCAGGAGGAGGGACCTCAGGTGCAGGGGAGGGGCCTCAGGGTGTGGGGGGCCTCAGGTGCAGGGGGAGGGGCCTCGGGGGGCAGGGGAGGGGCTCAGGGTGCAGGGAGGGGCCTCGGGGTGTGGGGGGCCTCGGGGGGCAGGGGCAGGGGCCTTGCCCCTGTGGGCAGTGACTGCCCTTCCTGAGCCCTGCTGTTTCATCCTGGGAAGGGGAGAATGAGGTGTGGGGTGCTGTGAGTCCTTGGGGCACACTCCCGGTAACTCTCAGGACATGCCAGTTTCAGGTCACCTTGGAACACAATTTGCCAAAAGCTAGAGCCACATGCTGGGTTTTCTTACTGTAAAGGGGAGAGGCCAAAGTGGGCTGGGACACGGCCCAGTGGTAGAGCACTGGCTAGCAGATACAAGTCCCTGGGTTCAAACCCCAGAGCCATAACAAATGAGACATGAGGGAGATGCCAGTCCTTCACATCCCCTTCATCCTTCCTCCCAAGACCAGGCTGCCCAGAGCCTCTGCCCGGGACACCGACCAGGCTCCGGAAGGCCACCTGCGGGCCGGTGGACGCAGCTCAAGGGCGGACTCAGCCAGGGCTGGTGGCAGAGGGGGTGACAGGCCGTCTGCCCTGTGTGCTGCTGGCCCGCACCTCTGCCCACACAGGGCAGAGGCCGCGCCTCCTCCCAGCAGGGCCCTCTGAACCAGACGTGCGGAGGGCATGGCCTGCAGGGCACACGCGCTTGCTGAGACTGACCAGCACGGCACTTGGCTCGGAAAAGAAGAATGCGCCGGCGGCTCAGGAGGCGACCAGGAGGCCTGAGATCTGAGGATCACGGTCGTGATTTTTCCTGGCAGGAAAATCCGTGAGATTCATATCCAATGAACCAGCAAACAGCTGCAAGCAGAGCTGCAGCTCGCGCGATTGGTAGATGCCAGCCTCGAGTGTAGAGCTCAGGGAGGGCGTCCGGCCCTGAGCTCAAGCCCCAGCACTGGCACACACGCGGGCGCGCTCACACAGGCGTGTGTGCATACAAATGGGTGTAGCACTTGGCAGGAGGTTCTGGAGAGCTGCTGCGGGCCGGCATGCTGTGCCGATGGGAGGTGGGAAGTGCCTGGTCAGGCTTTGTCCGGGAATCCCACTGCCGGCGGCTGAGGGTGAGGCCGGCGTGGGTCCGGGTGGACCGGGCCCGGTGGAGGGCGAGGGTGGCCAGCGCCGCTGTTTCCCGGGAAAGCATTAGGTCGCGTCGTGGTCCGTCTAGAGTTGCACTTCAGCTAAGAAGCACAAGGAGCTGCGGGCGAGGAAAAGCTGGGGGGAGGGGAAGCGCGGTGCACGGGGGCCAGGGGACGAGACACGAGGAGCTGCCCCTCCCCGCCATCCCCGGCCCGGGACACACCACGCACACACTGTGGTCTCAAGTCTCACTAGAGAGGGCTCGGAGCCTCGGGCAGGCCTGACAGTGGGGGGTAGGGGGGTAACCGGCGCCCCAGCCTCTTTTGCCAGAAGCAGGAAGCCATGTCTTTGTCAGCAGATACGGCCACAGCTGTAACCAGCTGCCCCAGGGCACCGGGCCCCGCCGGGGCGTCCTGCCTGTCCACACTGGGACTGCCAGTCACCTCCCCGCAGGGCCCTCTGACAGCCCCCACCCAGGGGCCCCTGGGTCGGTCCTAGGAGAGCCGGCCTCGCCCTTTGGTGTGGGAGACTCGCCAGGACCTTTGGCCCTTCAGCCTGTTGCTCTCCACGCCAGGCTGTGGAGCAGCTTCAAGAGCCCTGATCCAGGTGTGACCCGTTACCATGGTTACCACGCATGCAGTGGCTTCTGTCAGTGCGGCGAGACTTCAGCTGCCAGTCCAGCTGTGTGTGTCTGTGCAGAGCCGGAAGTGGGGGCCCTGCCCCCCCAGCTGCCCTGTCCCCAGGGCCCATGAGGCCTGCAGATGACAGTGCGTCACGCGGTGGCCTGGGCCTGCACAGCACGGAGCTGCCCTGTAGTCCAGGACCAGAGTCCTGGCCGTGAGTGTCTCCGGCTGCTCCAGTCCTCGCTGCATGGCTGTGCCCAGAGCGGCCTCCTGTCCACTGGGCATGGGGAGGGCGGCCGGGGCCTGGGGACGGCCAGCCAGGCCTGGAGGCTCCAGAGAGGGCTGTCGCTCTCGGGTCCCGCACAGCGGGGGTGGGGACACAGTCGCTCTGTCCTGGCAGGGGCTGCGCTGCCCCCCTCCCCCTCCCCTCCCACCTTCCAGAAATGTCAGAGGACATTTCTGCGGGGACTCATCCCACACACACAAAAAGAAAAAAGCTTTACTTAAACCATCTAAAATAATTTGAAGTCATGTTTGTATTGCATAGATATAGGGATATAACGTTTTATCTAAGACATCTTCTATTCTTATGTTTATATACGCATACTCCAGACTCTTAAAGGTTGAGATTGTATACATGCTCTTTGGAAACCTAGCCTTTAACCTGATTATTTTTTACGTTATAATGATCATTCTGTGACTTCTTATAGTTTTCAATATTCTGTCATGTATTTGAACTTTGATATTTTTGTCAAGGGCATTAAAAACTGCTTAACAGAAAAGAATTTTTGTTTTTTTGGGTCCGGTCATGGGGCCTGAACTCTGGGTCTGGGTGCTGTCCCTCAGCTCTTCAGCTCAAGGCTAGCGCTCTACCACTGAGCCACAGTGCCAGGTCCAGCTTTTTCTTTTTGCTTATGTGGTGCTGAGGAATGGAACCCAGGGCCTCAGGCATGCAAGGCAAGCGCTCTACCACTGAGCCACCTTCCCAGCCCCGAGAAAAGAATTTTAAAAGGAAGAACTGCTTCCTCACTAAGAAGAGGGTCCACACGCCAATCTCCACGCCCACCTCTGTCCTCCCCCACGCCCACTCTGTCCTCCCCGCCTCCTCTCTTCAGTCTTTTGGGACTGGATAGCGCTGTGTGACCCAGGCTGGCCTTGACCTCCAGCCCCTCCTGCCTCAGCCTCCCGAGGGTGGGAACTTCAGGTGTGCACCGCCGTGCCCAGTGCCTCGCTCACAATCTCGGCTTACTCGTCCCCTTGGGGCCTGGAGGAAATGAACGGAGCCAGTGAGGAAGGAAGAGGGGCAGCCATGCGGGTGAAAACGTGACTGCAGGCCGGAGCCGCGCAGCCTCGGAAGGGCCCATCCCCCGGTGAACACAGCCTCCTGCGGCCTCCATTGTACAGAGGTCTGAATCAACCGCGTGAGAGCGCTCAGGGGCTGATCACTGATGGGGGACATGGGCTCCAGCCAGCAGCTCTGCGAAGATCGGTGACAAAACCCCACCTTTTAGGGGAAAAAGCAACAGACATGCAGTTAAAATTACCTCCCGGACTTCCTGTCTGCCGCAGAAAGAGGAAGTGGGTACAGTGGAGCCATGCGAGACCTCGAGACCTTGCTGAGGGTCCCGAAGCCAGGGCACCAGGACCCCGGGAGGGAGGGGACGGGGGGGGAGGGGAGGGCCCGCCCCCGTCAGCCATCCCAGGGCCCTGGGAGAGGGTGTCCTGTTGGGTCACCAGCTCCCCCAGCCAGCAATGTTCCCTGCAGGTGGAGGGGGCAGCAGCAGCGCCTGGCCGGTCCTCCATCCCCTCCCCTGCCCAGCTGCGACAGCCTCATTCCAGGCCGGGGCTGGCGCGCACAGAGCAGGCCCCACTGCTGCCTGCTGGGGTCGACGCCGGCCCCGCAGGGTGACTCCAGACAGTGCCCCCGGTCACGAGGCAGGGAAAGGGCGAGGAGTCCTGCGACTCCCCTGGGACGGGCACCCTGGGTGCTTAGGCTGCCAGCCACACCCCGGGTCTCGGTGCCACACCGGCCGCCGGCCGCGCCCTGGGGTGGCGGTGCCACCACTCCCCAGTCACATGGAGTCAGCGGGTGCTGGGTCACTTCCAGGCCGAGCTGTCAGGGCAGGGAAGGAGCTCAGGTTAAGGCTGACTGATTGTGCCTGCCCCAGGGCAGGAAGGCAGGGTCTGGGAGCCGTCCCTGAGCTTTTCATTCAAGGCCAGCATCTACTTGAGCCACAGCTCCACTTCAGGCTTTTTGGTGAGTAAGGGGGGAGATCAAAGCCTCATGGGCTTTCCTGCCCAGACTGGCTTCAAACCAAGATCCTCCGATCTCAGCCTCCTGAGCAGGGAGGACTGCAGGTGAGGGCCACGGGGTCCAGTTAAGTTCAGATTTAGACAGAGGTGATGGCCAACTAAAGGATAGATCACAGTCCGGCTTTTCACACATTTACAGAGAATTCAGAAAAGTGTGCAGCTGCAGAACAGCTGGGCCGCGCAGCCTCCACTGACCTCAGATAACACGGAAGGACAGAGTCGCTCAACCAACCTGCTGAACCCCAGGCCTCAGAGCCTCTGTGGGTCCCGGGGCCGGCCCTGCCCTTCCCACCTGCCTCCTGTGCGGGCCAGAGATGCTTCCGGAGGGCTCCCCAGGTGGGGGCGGTCCATCTGTCCCCCGGGGACTGAGTTTATGATATCATTGCAAAGAAATGCAACCAGGCAGACACCAGAAGTTCACTATGAATCAAAGCAGAGGGCACGGATGTGAGGTCACGGTGTGCCCAGCACCCAACGCCAGCCCCGTCTGTCAGATGGAAAAGGGAGTCGGAGCTGGGAGCGGCAGCTCACACCGGCGAAGGGAGGTTCAGAGGCAGCCCAGGCAGGGAAGTCCAGGAGATTCTTAGCTCGTTACCCGCACTCGTGCAGGCTGTGGGTTTGCTGCCTAGGGAAGGTCCCTTCCTCCTGCGGCTGGGTGGTTCCCTTGCACTCGGTTCAGGGCTGCTCAGGCCTGTGTTAGCGCGGCCTGTCGGAGCAGTGGGCTCTGCCAGGGGCTCCCTTGGTGACAGGGGCGCTCGTGCCCGGAGGAGGCTCTGTTCTCAGCACCCCTTAAGACGGTTTTGCTCGGTTCCCAGAGGCTCGCGGTGGGGTCTCGTGGATGAGCTTGGAGGACAGAGCTGCCTTTTACAAACACAGAGGCTTAAAGAAAGGAGACCGTGTCTGTGGGTCCATCCTCAAACTCTTCAACAAGGTTTCACGGCCGCCATGCAGGTGGGCGCCGTCGGGGGGCGGGGGTGGAGGGGGCGCGGGGGGCGGCCTCTGCTGCACGGGTCTCTCCAGCCCCCTCCGCCTTTGCTCCGCTCTGCTGCTTGTGCGCGCTCATGCCCATGCCCACTCACGTGTGTAAACCACCCCCAATTAGGCAGGTGACACACACAGGGGCACACAGCTGCCACTTCCCAGGAAGGCGGGGGCAGCGCCCCGCGGGGCGGAGTCAGAGTCCGGCGGGGGCGGGGTCAGAGCTCCGGCGGGGGCGGGGTCAGCGCCCCGCGGGGCGGAGTCAGCTCCGGCAGGGGCGGGGTCAGAGCTCTGGCGGGGGCGGGGTCAGCGCCCCGCGGGGGCCACTCTGGAGCCGGGCGCGGGCACGGGTCAGGCAGCCCTGCGGGGCCACGCCAGGCCTCTGCGGCCTCAGTGTCCCGGCCGTCCTGCCTGCCCGGAGAGGGCCCAAGTGCTGGTCCGTTGGAACGGCCGCCCTGGAGCATCGGTGACGCTCCGGCCTAGTAGCCGAGAGGGGTCCGTGTGGGACCCGGTGGGGGCCGAGCCGGGGTCTCCTTGGAGCAGCGCAGAGCCCGGGGCAGGGGCAGGGGCAGGGGCAGGGGCAGGGGCAGGGGCAGGCAGGCAGGGG